AGCCAGTGTGAGAGAGAGAGAGAGAGAGAGAGAGAGAGAGAGAGAGAGAGAGAGAGAGAGAGAGAGAGAGAGAGAGAGAGAGAGAGAGGTTCTAACTCTTGTCTGTTGTGATGATGGGTTGAGATTGGGTGTGCCCCTGCACTCGTAACTTTCTACTGTCGGCCATTTGGATTGTTGCTGGAGTTTGTCTGTTTGTTACCCGCCCGGGTCCCGTAGGGAACTGGTCATGGGGCCTGTTGAATTGTATCTGGCCCTGAACCGGTAGGCCTACCTCTTGAAAATATTTGAAGGGACATGGTAATGATAGGCTGCTTGATGCGTTCCGATTCGGAGGCGGCCTGCAATTGCCGTGCGCTGAGGAGGAGCGGTCTAGAGAGGCCTGCAGCGTGTATTGGCTGGTAGTACTGGCCGAATCTGGCTGGAATCCAGACCGAAAAGGAAAACTTCGAACCTTGAAGGCTCTGTAGGCCCTTTTTTTTTAATTATCTGTGTGGCAATTGTGGGCTGCCTAGTCATCTGATCCTCCATTTACTCCATGCCTGAAAATTTTCGGCTGTTTTTTTGGTCCCCCTTCTTGCTAGCCTTTTTCTTAGTCATCGAGCGTTATGGAGGTGACTGAGGCTCTTGATTTAAGTAAGATACCTACGAGCATTCCCCATACGTGTTAACGACTGTGGTATCCACCTGTCCTAACTCTCCTGCTTGGGCACCAGATGGGAAGGCCATGGCTGCCCACAGGTTAATCTTCAGATTGCAGTTGGTTGGTGTACATGCAAAAAGCAGTACGAGATGGTAAAGCAACTATTGCCCTTTCAAAACAGCACCCACAGCTACCGTTTTCACCCGAATAGAACGCCCGGTCATTTTAGCTGTATTTGGCACAATCTTCGGTCCAGATGCAGCGATAATGACCAGGCGTTCTATTCGGGTGAAGACGGTAGTCGGTGCATACATGCGAAAAGCTGATGTGAATATGTTCAGGGAACGAGGGTTTGAAAAGTGTGCGAGTTGTGAACTAGTATGTGCGTTGTCAATGGAGTGCCGTTGTCTAATATAGTAGTGTATGTTTTTGTACGGATCTTTGTTTGTATGAAAAACTGTTCTGCTAGTCCGTATCTGTTTGTGATTTTTGACCCGGTATGTGCATCATCATCGCGTGCTGTGCTGTTGTGCCTCCCTCTACATTTCATAGAACAGGTTTGGTTATTTAAGATTCGTTGTTCAGGGGTATAGGGGTTGATGTCTGTTCCTATTCTGCGACTGGTATTGTGCGTCGTTCGCATGCAGCCCATTCACGAGACAAGGCTGGTTTTCGTACCTTCTCTCCTGTTGCGTACACCTGTCTCCCTCATCGATGAGCATGTCTCTCTTCCTCGTTATCGAGGATCTATAAAAGTGCATGTTTTCAGTAGTAAGCTAGGCTACAGTGGCACGGGTCCACTTGCCCAGCCGGCTGAGCCGGGCCAAAAAAAATAAAAAAATAAAAAAATAAAAGTTATTTTTTAATTAAAATTTTCATTTTAAATTTGGTAAAGAATTTCGATGTGACCCTGAGGCAAAAGTTGTTCAGTTATTTTTCTGTATAACATAGTTTTTTTTTTTTTTTTTTTTT